ATCAGGAGAGTGCCACCAAATCAGGAAAGTGCCACCAGATTGGGAAAGTGCCACCAGATCAGGAAAGTGCCACCAGATCGGGAAAGTGCCACCAGATTGGGAAACTGCCACCAAATCACATCAGGAAAGTGCCACCAAATCACATCAGGAAAGTGCCACCAAATCAGGGAAGTGCCACCAAATCACATCAGGAAACTGCCACAAAAATCAGGAAACTGCCACCAAATCACATCAGGAAAGTGCCACCAAATCGGGAGAGTGCCACCAAATCGGGAAAGTGCCACCAGATCGGGAAAGTGCCACCAAATCACATCAGAAAACTGCCACCAAATCACATCAGGAAAGTGTCACCAAATTGGGAAAGTGCCACCAGATCGGGAAAGTGCCACCAAATCACATCAGGAAAGTGCCACCAAATTGGGAAAGTGCCACCAAATCACATCAGGAAAGTGCCACCAAATCAGGAAACTGCCACCAAATCACATCAGGAAAGTGCCACAAAAATCAGGAAACTGCCACCAAATCACATCAGGAAAGTGCCACCAAATCGGGAAAGTGCCACCAGATCGGGAAAGTGCCACCAGATCAGGAAACTGCCACCAAATCGGGAAACTGCCACCAAATCACATCAGGAAACTGCCACAAAAATCAGGAAAGTGCCACCAAATCAGGAAAGTGCCACCAAATCAAATCAGGAAACTGCCACCAAATCACATCAGGAAAGTGCCGCCAAATTGGGAAAGTGCCACCAAATCACATCAGGAAACTGCCACCAAAATCAGCTTTTTCCAAGGGACAGACTGTCCAGCTTTAATGGGACAGGGACAGCCACAATCCCCTACCAACCATCAAATCAGAAAACTGCCACCAAATCGTGAAACTGCCACCAAATCAAATCAGGAAACTGCCACCAAATCAGCTTTTTCCAAGGGACAGAGTCCAGCTCTAATGGGACAGGGACAGTCACAATTCCCAGTAAGGAAACTGCCATAAAAACCAGGAAACTGCCACCAAAATCAGCTTTTTCCAAGGAGCAGACTGTCCAGCTCTAATGGGACTGGGACAGCCACAATCCTCTCCCAGTGAGGAAACTGCCACCAAATCAGGAAACTGCCACCAAATCAGGAAAGTGCCACCAAATCACATCAGGAAACTGCCACCAAAATCAGCTTTTTCCAAGGGACAGAATGTCCAGCTCTAATGGGACAGGGACAGTCACAATTCCCAGTAAGGAAACTGCCATAAAAATCAGGAAATTGCCACCAAAATCAGCTTTTTCCAAGGAGCAGACTGTCCAGCTCTAATGGGACTGGGACAGCCACAATCCTCTCCCAGTGAGGAAACTGCCACCAAATCAGGAAACTGCCACCAAATCAAACCAGGAAACTGCCACCAAAATCAGCTTTTTCCAAGGGGCAGAGTGTCCAGCTCTAATGGGACAGGGACAACCACGATCCCCTACCAACCATCAATTAGGAAACTGCCACCAAATCGTGAAACTGCCACCAAAATCAGCTTTTTCCAAGGGGCAGAGGGTCCAGCTTTAATGGGACAGGGACAGTCACAATTCCCAGTGAGGAAACTGCCACAAAAACCAGGAAAGTGCCACCAAATCAAATCAGGAAACTGCCACCAAAATCAGCTTTTTGCAAGGGACAGAGTCCAGCTTTAATGGGACAGGGACAGCCACAATCCCCTACCAACCATCAAATCAGGAAACTGCCACCAAATCAAATCAAGAAACTGCCACCAAATCAGCTTTTTCCAAGGGGCAGAGTGTCCAGCTCTAATGGGACAGGGACAGCCACAATCCCCTCCCAGTGAGGAAACTGCCACCAAATCAGGAAACTGCCACCAAAATCAGCTTTTTCCAAGGGACAGAGTCCAGCTTTAATGGGACAGGGACAGCCACAATCCCCTACCAACCATCAAATCAGGAAACTGCCACCAAATTCAGGAAACTGCCACCAAAATCAGCTTTTTCCAAGGGGCAGAGTGTCCAGCTCTAATGGGACAGGGACAGTCACAATTCCCAGTGAGGAAAGTGCCACAAAAACCAGGAAAGTGCCACCAAATTCAGGAAAGTGCCACCAAAATCAGCTTTTTCCAAGGAGCAGAGTGTCCAGTTCCTCTGGAGCCAGGGGCAGGATGAGAACCGGGGTTCCTCGTTAGGCTAACGAGCTCCAGGGGCTGATGAACGGGGACAGAGCTCCGTGTCCCTTGTCACACACTCCCTGCTCTGCTGCCACTCCACCCCCAGCTCCGGGTGCATCCATTCCCTCCGGGGCTTTTCAAACGCAGCCAGGGATGAGATGGGAGCAGCAGGAAAACCGGGATGGGCACCAAAGCCGTGTCAGGCATGGCAGCGCCCCCAGCAGCCACACAAAGGAGCCATTTCCATTTTTCCATTCGTGTCACAGCCACAGATGGCAGGAGGGAACCTCCGGGACAATCGGCTCCCTTTAACCCTATTGATCCAGCTTTTTTGGGGTTTTTTCCCATTTTTCCCTCCCCAGAAGAACAGGATAAACGGTGGCTACAGAATCATAAATTTCCAATAAATTTGTTTTATGGGGGGTTTTTAGGGGTGTTTTTCCCATTTTTCCCCCCTCAAAAGAACAGGATACATGGTGGCTACAGAGTCATAAATTCCCATGAATTTGTTTTATGGGGTGTTTTTGGCCCGCTTTTCCCCCTCAAAAGAAGGGGATAAATGGTGGCTACAGAATCACAAATTGCCACGAATTTGTTTTATGGGGAGTTTTTGGTTTTTGGGGGTATTTTTCCCATTTTTCCCCCTCAAAAGAACAGGATACATGGTGGCTACAGAGTCACAAATTCCCATTAATTTGTTTTATGGGGTGGGTTTGGGGGTGTTTTTCCCCCTCAAAAGAAGGGGATAAATGGTGGCTACAGAGTCACAAAATGACATGAATTTGTTTTATGGGGTGTTTTTGGCCCGCTTTTCCCCCTCAAAAGAAGGGGATAAATGGTGGCTACAGAATCACAAATTGCCACGAATTTGTTTTATGGGGAGTTTTTGGTTTTTGGGGGTATTTTTCCCGTTTTTCCCCCCTCAAAAGAAGGGGATAAATGGTGGCTACAGAGTCACAAATTCCCATTAATTTGTTTTATGGGCTGTTTTTGGGGGTGTTTTTCCCCCTCAAAAGAAGGGGATAAATGGTGGCTACAGAGTCACAAATTCCCATAAATTTGTTTTATGGGCTGTTTTTGGGGGGTGTTTTTGCTCCTGAAAGAAGGGGATAAATGGTGGCTACAGAGTCACAAATCGCCATGAATTTGTTTTATGGGCTGTTTTTGGGTTTAGGGGGTGTTTTTGGGTTTTGGGGGTATTTTTCCCCCTCAAAAGAAGGGGACAAATGGTGGCTACAGAGTCACAAATCGCCATGAATTTGTTTTATGGTCATGGAGCTGAGCTGGGAGCTGAAGCCCCGAGGATCTGCTCAGCTGCCTGTGGATATCCCACATGGCAGGGAGACCAAGACCTGTGGAACCTCCCGGGGATGGAGGCCTGAGCCCAGCCCTGAGAAGCTGAAGAAAACCCAGCAATCACCTAAAAGGCCTCGAGTTTGGCAGGATTTTAACACTGAGCTGCTGACTCCTGGGGTCTGTCACACACCAGATTTCCCCACTGGACACATCCAGGGCAGCGCCACAAGAAGCTCACAGAGCTGGAGGGTGCCAATTTTCCCCCTTCCCCAAAAAAAAAACCCCTATTTAGCCACAAAAACTTCCTCCAAGCAGCAGCAGAGGTGTCTCAGAGCAGACACAGCTCCAGCCCAGCACGTTTGGCGTTGGTTTAAGGCCACACCTGATGGCCACAGGACGGAGGCAAAGCTCAGATTTGGAGCCACAGCTCCAATCGCTGCTTCCCTGCACTTCCCCAACTCCTAAAGGACGCCCGGCTTCCCATTCCACACCTCCAACTGGAAGTGAGGAGCAGGAGACAGATTTCTCTCTCTCTCTCTCTCTCTCCCTTTGTCTGCGGCACCCACTTACCTCCTCTACACCTCAATAACACAAAACCCAGATCCTGCAGCCACCCCTCCTTTATGTAACCCACACAATTCCCGAATCCTGCCCGGATCAGGCGGGATGCCACCGCTGTCCTGCGCTCCTCGCCACTCCAACCCACCCTCAACTCGCCGGCGGGAAACAAACAAGTAAATGATGCGATGTTGGATATTTCTGCCGAGCTCCCCAGCCTCCTTTTTTACCCCAAAACCTGCGGCCGGTTCACCATGAAGTCACCCAACTTCCCAAGCAGCTGGCACTGAGCCATGCCCCTCATCGATTCCCACTGTCCCTTGGCACCTCACCCACCCAAAGATGCCCCTCACCATCCCCACAATTCCTTCATCCAAAACCCTGGAGATCTCCCAAAAATCCACCACGGCCCGTCTGGGCGCCCCCCAAACACCCCCACGTCATCTCCTCGCCCTGAGCCTGGTGCCAAAATCCCACCCAGTGCTGTGACCCCCATGGGAACCCTCTGGGGGTCCCTCCGAGCCTCTCATGCCAACCCCTCCCCGCCCTGTGCCAGGCTCCAGGACCCCCAAACCCCCCAGCACCCCCAAATCCCCCCCCAGCCTCCCCCCGGGCCTGCCGGGGGCTCTCTCGTCCCACCCCGCTCCCCCCGAGCCCCCCGGTACCCGGAGCCCCCTCCCCATCCCCAGGGCCCCTCCACCTTCCCAGTGTCCCCCACACCCCCAGCCCAGCCCTGCCCGGGCCCCCCACACCCCACAGCCTGCCCAGAGCCTCCCCCGCCCTCCCCGGGCCCGCCGCCCGCCTTTCCCCGCCCAGACCCCCGGAGCCCCCCGGAGCCTCCCCGGCCCAGCCCCGCCGCCCCCCCCGGGCGGAGAGGGGCCCCGGGCAGGGCCGCGCCGAGGCGGGAGCTCCGCCAAGCCGCGGCCTGGGGCAGCCGGGCGTTCCCCCCTGCTGTCCCCGGCCGTCCCGCCCCGTTCCCGGCGGTTCCTCACCGGTACCGGCGGGAGCGGGCGCGGCGGGCGCGGAGCGGAGCCGCCGCCTCAGACACCGCGCGGCGCAACGCACCCTGCTGGCCCGCGGGCGGCGCCGGCCCCGCCCCGCGCGCCTGACGGACAGCGCCGCCAGCCAATGGGAGTCCGCGGAGCGCGGCGCGCGGGGGGAGGGCCGGCCGGGAGGCGGGGCTTGGAGCGGCCGCCAAGTTCGGTTGCGGCGGCGGCGGCGCGGAGGGAGGCCGGGGAGGGGGCGGGGCCGGCGGAGGAGCGGCGGGAGGAGCGGCCAATCAGCACGCGGAGCTGGAAATGGGGCGTGGCTATATAAGTATCTCATTAATATTAATAAGGTGGGAGGGGGCACGTGGCGGCCGGGGCGCGAAGCACCGGGAGGGGACACCCCGGGACCCCCGGGCATCCCCCGGTGCGTGGCGCCCCCGGTGCCCCCAAGGTCTCCCCGGGATCCCCCGGTCTGTGCTCCTCCGCAGCCCTCGGTGCAGCCGGACCGGACCCGTCTGTGACCCCGCTGCGGGGCTTGGGGTCCCCAAATCCCCCAGACCATCTCCGAGCACTGCCGCGCTCTGCCCAGCCCCGCGTACCGGGGGTCGCGGCCTCGCTCTGCCCCCACCTCGGGGAGCTGCTGCCCCCGGGGACGGAGGGGAAAATCCGTGGGGATGAATCAGCGGCGGGCGGGAGTCACGGTGGTGGCGCGGGGGGAGCGGAAATCACGCCCTGAATCGAGGCTTTGATTCCCCCCGGGCTGCCACAGGCACCGGGCGAGCGCGGCCGGCGGGTCCCGGTGGCGCCTGGTCCCGGAGTTCCCTCGGGAGTCACCGTGGGGGGACACAGCCACGTCCCCAGCGCTTCCCAGCGCATCCCAGTCTGCGCTGGCCCGCGGCACGGCCGCACCAGTACGCACCAGTTGCAGCTGCGATCCCAGCAGGAATTGAGGTGGGGAAATGCCGAGCCCGGGCTGTCCCCACATCGGCGGCTGCGCTGGAATCGGGCTGAAAACTCCATAATCCTGTTAGTGGGAAGAAGGCTGATTTTCCCCCTAATCCAGTTTGCTCCCGTATGTCCCGGCCCGCCGAGCCCTAATCAGCTTTCCCTGCAGATGAGCACTCCCGAGTGCCGGGGCCGCGGTGTCCCCCCGGTGGGGGACACAAGGGACAATATTCCAGTGCGAGACACGATGCCAGGAGCTGGTTTGGGTCCCAAAATCTGCATTTGTGAAATTGATGGCCGCGGGCGGGAACCGGCTGCACCGCGGCTCATCCCGGGGCTCATCCCGTTAATTAACGCTCAGGAGCTGCTTTGTTCAACGCCTGGACTCGGGGGAGGCTCCGGGCGCCCGGCGAGGATCCTCCCTCCCGGTGCTGCGCTGATTTTTGGGGGATCAGGATGGGGTTTGGGGGGGCTGCAGGGACCCAGCGCTTCCCTGGCAGCATCCCGAGGGACACCCGAGCCTGCAGCAGGACCGGGACCGGAGCGTCCCCTGCCACGGCGGGCACAGGTCCCCATTAGGTGGGGGAAAGTGGGAGGGGACAGAGGAGGCAGAGGTGGAGAGGGGGAGAGCCGGGAAAGGGGGGAAGAGGAAATTTTCTGCCCCCAAGGCGTTGTGGAGCCTCTGGAAGTGCTCTGAGTTTCGGTGTGATGGTGCCACCCCAAATACCTGAGGGTCCTGAGGGATCCCAGCAGGTGGGGACTGGCACCAAGTGTCCCCATGCCCACGTGTGCCTGTCCCACTGTCCTGTCCTGGCACCCACAGAGAGCCCTGGATCCCCCCAGGCCATAGAAGGGACACGGGGACAGGAGCAGGGGCCATGGGCAATGGCAGGGAGCTGTGACATCCCTGAGGAGCTGGCACTGTCCCCACGGAGCCCAGAGCAACCCAAGGATCTGTGACCATCCCACAGAGCTGTGGCTATTCCCACAAATCCATAACCATCCACATGGATCCACGACCATCCCTACTGATCCACAACCATCCCTATGGATCCACAACAATCCCTATGGATCCATAACCACCTGCATGGATCCACAACGATCCCTATGGATCCATCACAATCCCTATGGATCCATCATCATCCCTACTGATCCATGACCATCCCTATGGATCCATCACCATCCACATGGATCCATAACCATCCACGTGGATCTACAACCATCCCTATGGATCCATCACTATCCATCCCTATGGATCCATGATCATCCATCTCTATGGGTCCATGACCATCCCTATGGATGCACCACCATCCCCACAGGTCCATGCCCATCCCCATGGATCAGTGCCGTCCTCATGGATCAGTGCCCATCCCCACAGATCCGTGCCCATCCCCACAGATCCATGCCCATCCCCATGGATCCGTGCCCATCCCCAGGTATCTGTGCCCATCCCCACAGATCCATGCCCATCCCCACAGATCCATGCTATCCCCACAGATCCGTGCCCATCCCCACGGATCCGTGCCCTTGCCCAGTGCCCCGGTGCCTGCAGCAGCCCCGTTCCCCCCCGTTCCCCCCCGTTCCCCCCTCCCCGTTCCCGCTCCCGGAGCCCACGCGGCTCCCGCGCCCGGGGAGCAGCGCTGGTTTCCATGGCAACGGGCGTGATGACGCACGCGCCGCGCTCCCGCCCCCCCCCCCCCCCCTCCCCGCGGGCACGGGCGGGGACAGCGACACGCGGGCACGCGCGCGCGTCACACGTGTCACACGCGTGTCGCACCCACGTCACAGGCGGGCACGCGCGGCACGAGCACGGCACAGGGCACGCGCGTGTCACACGCACGGAACACGTGTCACATTCGTGTCACACACACAGAGGTGTGCCACTGTCACATTTGTGCCACAAACACACCTGTGCCCTCCGTCACATTCGTGTCATACACACAGCCGTGCATACATCACATTTGTGTCACACACAGAGGTACAGAGGTGTGCCACATGTCACATTTGTGTCACACGCACAGGTGTGCCCACTGTCACATTTGTGTCACACACACACACCTGTGCCCACTATCACATTTGTGTCACACACAGAGGTGTGCCCACTGCCATATTTGTGTCACATGCACACACACACCTGTGTACATGTCACAGTTGTGTCACACACACACCTGTGCTTACTGTCCCATTTGTGTCACACACATCACATTCGTGTCACACACACACAGCTGTGCACACACGTCACATTTGTGCCCCACACACACACAAATGTCACATATGTCACACACGCCCACGGCCCTACACACACACCACACGCGCCTCACACCTGCACACGCGTGTCTGTGGCCGTCCCACGGAGCCGTGGCTGTCCCCAAGGTGTGCACACACATCACACTCACCGTCACACCAACCTTGTCCCCCTTCCCGTGACCCCCCCGTGTCCTCCCGCCCCGGCCGGGGGCGGCTCCGGGGGACGCGGGAGCGTTTCTCGTCTCTTTATTGAAGGAAGACTATTTCTAGAATAAAGGCTACATCGTCACCTTGTCCCCTGGGCGCTCGGATCCTCGTGTAAAAAGCCGGGGGGGTGCGGGGAGCTGGGGGGGGCTCGGCCTGCCCGGGGACACCCTCTCGGGGACACCCCCTCGGGGACACCCCGGTGGTGGCGGCGGGGGAAGGAGCGGGGCCGGAGCGAGGGGACAAACCTCGAGGGGACGAGGGGCTGGTGACAGCGCGGGGACCCCGCTCCGGCCAGGGGGGAACAAGCAGGGCTGCGCCAGAGCTGGAGGGTGCCGGGGGTCCCGGGGGTCCCGGGAGTGCGGGGCCGGGTCACCCGCGGGGGGACTCTGAGGACGGGGGGGCACCGATCCTTGCGGCATCGGTGGGGAGGGGGCAGCGGGGGGCGCGGGGGGCCCGGCCGGCTGTGGGGCCGGGGCTCTCCCGCCGGAGCTCACCAGGATTGTGCTGGGTCAGGACCTCCCGCGGACCCGATGCTTTGTGCTTGGGCTGGCGGCTCCGGCTGCGGCACCGGCTCGGGGCTGGGGGGGAGCACGGGGGGCCCGCGGCGCCGGGGTGGGGCTGGGGGGCGGGCATGGGGCACCACGATGGGCCTGGGGGGCAAGGGGACCACGGTGCCGGGCTGGGGGCTCGGGGGGCTGCGGTGGCAGACGGGGCTGGGGGGGCCGTGGCACCTGGACAGGGCTGGGGGTTTGGGGAGGGGGTCATGGCACCAGGATGGGGCAGGGGGGCCGGGGGACACCGGTCAGGGGGACACGGGCACCGCGCAGGGGCTGCCCCCGCCCCGGGTCTCTGCCCGCAGGAGCAGAGCACTATGGCGTGGGGACGGGGGCCCGGGACGCGCGGGACTGTCCCCAAAGGGTGACACCGCCATCCCCACGTGGCGCCGTCCTTCCCTCCCGCGAGGACCGACGGGGGCCGGGCCCGGTGGCACCGGTTGTGCTGAGGGCGGGGGGTGTGGCCCGGGTGTCCCGGAGGCGAGTCCCCGCTCCTGCCGTGCCCGGGGGTGGCCGCGTGTCCCTCACCTCGGCCCCGTCTTCACCCCCGGCCCCGGCGGCCCCGCACAGTCACAGTGATGGCACACGGAGGACGAGGGGACGGTCCCGCTGCGATGCCACTGCCACGTCCAGCCGTGGGGGGGAGGAGGGAGGGGGGGTATCCGGAGTGGGGAGGGGGCGCGGGCCAGTCCGGGGCTCTACATGATGCTGCACTTCCCCTTGATTTTGTCTGTCCTCTTCTGCTTGCTGGAGCGCTTCCCGTCGATGGTGAGGCTGACGTTCCTCCTCTTCTCCAGGTTCAGCAGCTCCTGGAAGAGCTCCTTGACGTTGTAGTTCATCTTGGCCGAGGTCTCCATGAAGGCGCATTTCCACTCCTTGGCCATGGCCTCCCCCTCCCTGCTCTCCACCTCGCGCTGTGTCTCGTCGCACTTGTTGCCCACCAGCATGATGGGGATGCTCTCCACGCTGCCCTTGATCTGCACGATCTGCTGGTAGATGGGCTTCAGCTCCTCCAGCGACTGCTTGCTGGTGACCGAGAAGACCAGGATGAAGGCATGGCCCTTGGAGATGGACAGGCGCTGCATGGCCGGGAACTGGTGGCTGCCGGTGGTGTCGGTGATCTGCAGCGTGCACACGCTCTTGTCGCAGCTGATCACCTGCCGGTAGGTGTCCTCGATGGTGGGGATGTAGGTGTCGCGGAAGGTCCCCTTGACGAAGCGCAGCACCAGCGAGCTCTTGCCCACGCCGCCGGCTCCGAACACCACCACGCGGTAATCGTTGCTCTGCTCCGGCATTTTGGCCCCGCGGTCGCTGCGGGGGCACAGGGAGGCGTCACCCCCCGTTCCAGGCGCGGCCCCCCTGAGATGCAGCCCCGGTTGGGAGCTGGGCTTGCTGCCCTTGGGTCGCCCTTGCCGGCCGGCGCGGGGTGAGGCTGCCTTGGCTATTTTTACCGGCCGCCCGCCGTGGCCATATGGCCGAGCGCGGCCACCGGCACCGCAGCTGCTGCCGAGGCTGCTGGGGGGGCTCGCTGGGCAGGGACCCCCCCGCCAGCTCTGCAGGGGTCATGGTGGCACCTGGAGCGCCCAGCTGGGCTCTCTGGCCAGGTACAGAGGTGCCCTTTCACACACACAGGTTGTGCTGCTGGTGTCCTGTTACCCTGTCACTCCCTGCCACTCTGTCCCACGCCGTGCCATCCCTCTGCTCTGCTCCCACCCCAGGGATGCATTGGGGAGTGCAGGAAAGGAGCGTGGCACAGCCGTGGGATGCAGGTGGTGGGCAGTGGGTCAGAGCTCCCCTCATGCTGCCAAACCTCAGTGCCCACCCACAGGGGACACCTGGAACTGGGCAAGGTCCCCAGTGCCCCCCAGTGAGGCAGTGCTGGGGTGTGAAACGAGGTGGCACAAAGGGTCGTGTGTGCAGGGCCCTGCTCCGGTTCCCCCAGTGCAGCACAGGGGTGGCAGCACCAGCTCTGTCCCACGAGGGTCCCCAGGGTGCGTGGGACCCTCACAGAGCCTTGGGGACATTAAACCCACCACGGGACAGGGTTTCCAAAGGTGCCCAGCCACAGGATGAGTGGGAAGGAGGGGAGGGAAGGGGGCTGAGCCTTGCTTAAGGACTGTGCCCAGTCAGCTCCACTCCTGCCACCCCAGTTCAGGGAAGGGGGACAGCAAAGTGCCCCAGACAGCCCCGTACTGGTGTCTGCCCTGGGCACGGCAGCTCCTGCATCCCTGAGCATCTCTGGGGGAAGCAGCCCCTTCCCACAGCCACCCCATCCCCGTCCCAGGGCACCAGGGGGTCTGGACCCCCCAAAGCAGCCCCAAACCCCCGGCATGTCCCCAGACACCAGAGCCAGGCGAGGCTGGGAGCTGGAGGAGCCAAGGAGCTCATCCCACCGTGGGCTCCTTGGATCCCAGCACACTGGGAGCGTCACCATCACCCGGGGGCTGGGGCTGCAGCGGGGGCCGGGGCTGAGCTGGCGCGTGGGAACGTCCAACCTCGGCCAGGGCTGGCAGTGCTCCCACCCTGTCCCACCGGTCCCATCCCACCTGTCTCACCTGCCTGTCCCACCTGTCCCATCCCACTTGTTCCACCTGTCCATCCCACCTGTCCACGGCACAGCCGAAAGTGCCCCTGAACTCCCAGCCCTGCCATGGGGCGCTGGGCTGGACAGACCCTCACGGAACAGGGGGGGCTCTTTGGGGTGACCCCACGGCCTGTGCCCAGCAGCACCCCGATCCCAACAGTCCCTGGTGCCCGAGGGTCCGGAGCACGGCCCCCCCTCTGCTCGTGGGCAGGGACCACCCGGGGCTGATCCTGCCGGGGGGCTCTGCACCCCCCAGAGCCCCCCAGCACCCTCCCATCGGGGCCCCCAGCACTGGGGGTGACACTGGTGGGGACCTGGGGGTCAGGATGGAGGGCAGGGCAGGGGTGAGGGAGCAAGGGAGGGATGGGGAGCAGGGCAAGGGCAGGGTGGAGATGGAGAGGCAGGGAAGGGCAGGATGGAGGGATGAAGGGGCAGGAGAAGGGGCTGGATGGAGGTCGGAGGAGCAGAGGAAGAGCAGGGGGGGACGAGCATCCCGCTCAGGATGGAGATGGAGAGGCAGGGGAAGAGCAGGACACAGACGGAGAGGCAGAAGGGGCTGCATGGAGGGGCAGGATGGAGATGGAGGAGCGGGAGAAGGGGCGGGAGGGACGAGCATCCCGCTCAGGATGGAGATGGAGCGGCAGCAGGAGGGCACGGACAGATGGCGGGGCAGGGTCGCGGGTCCCCCCGCGCCGCTCCCCGCCCTCGCCGGCAGCACCCCCGGTCCCCGCGCCGGCCGCGCTCCCCCGGCCCCCGCCGCGCCGGTCGCATTGCGGTGCCCGCCGCCTCACCGTGTCCTGCCCGGGATCCGCCCTTGGCTGCGGGCGGCGCGGCGGCCTCAGCGCATGGCCCGGCCCGGGGCGGCCCCGGCGCGGCGGCTCCGCTCCGCCCGGCGCGGCTCGGTGCGGCGGGGCTCGGCGGGGCTCGGCGGGGCTGCGGCCGGTGCGGCGGGGCCGGCTCGGCTGGGCGGGCTCGGCTCGCCTCGGCTCGGCTCGGTGCGGTGCGGCCGCCGCAGAGCCGATCCCGCCCCGCCGCCGGCCCCGCCCGCCGCGCCCGCCCCGCCCGGGGCCCCGGACCCCCGGGCCCGGCCCCGAGCGGCTCCGGGACCCGGCAGCGGCGGGACGGGGACACACGGACAGGGATGGGGACAGACGGACAGGGATGCACGAGAATGGGGGCACGCGGGCAGCGACGGAGATGCACGGGATGGAAACACAGGGACAGGGACAGACAGGAACGGGATGGGGACACACGGAGAAGAGACTCAAACAGGGATGGGGACAGGGACACATGGATGGGAACACATGGAGAGAGAGATGGGGACTCATGGGGGTGAGAGGGGACAGCCAGGCAAGAAGACACAGGATGGGGACACACGGACAGGGACACTTGGGGATGAGGACACAGGGACCCCACATGGACACCTGCACAGGTGGGGACATGAATCCACATGAGGAGGGACAGTCAAGGGACTCATGGATGGGGACGGAGCCTTGCAGGTGGTGACAGGGGACACAGGGACAGGACAGACGGACACCAACATCCCAGCCAGGCAGGGCACAGGTGGCACAGGGTGCTGTGAGCCCCCGTGGCAGTTGGGGGTGGCCTGGGCAGCCATGCTGGGCTTTGGGGACACAGAGGCCATGGTGCCACCCCAGCACAGGACCGGGAGCTTGTGCACACACCGCAGGGCCTTTGTAACCAACTGGTGTCACCTGCTCATGGCAGAGCCCCAAAACCCCAGAGGGGCCCTTGAGGGGACACACTGGGGACCCTGGTGGGGCTGTGGGACACTCAAGCGCTGGCTGAGCCCCCCCAGTGCCTGAGTGGGACCAGAAGAGCCCCAGGGTGACCATCCCCAGCTCTGTGTCCCACCACTGGCACTGGGCAGTGGAGGTGACTGGTGACTCCAGGGGTCTGAGGGTCCCTGTCACAGCCGGGGGCTGCTCCTGCCTCCCCCCCCCGGCCCCACTCCTGAGTGGCAGCAATTAAAATCCGCAGCCTCTATTAATAGCAGCCAGCGGGCACCGGGCCACGGTGGCACCCACGCGCTGGCACCGCGTCCCCACGGGAACGGGGAGGGCAGCGGGGGGGGCACGGGGACATCGGCCCGCCCCGCCCCGCGGGGTGACAAGGCCCAGGGGGGGTGGTGGCAGCCTCAGCCCCCCCCCACCCCCGCCGCGCCCGGAGCCGGCCGGATACTCCTCGTTAGAGGCAATGAATGAGCTTTCCTTGATCATTTTCCTGCGGCTCCTCCTCGTTCCATTGAGCCGCAGCTCCCCGCCAGGCCTGACGCAACGGGGCGGCCGCTCACGCAGGGCTGAATCACGGCGCTGCCGAGCGGGGGGTGCTGGGGGGGGTCCTGTCCCCCGCCCCCGGGCTCAGCAGGGCTCTGGGGGGTCCGGCTGGAGGGGTTCGGATGCCCGGGGAGGGGGCTCAGCCCACGCCGGGGCCGGGCACGTGTGGATGCCGCGTGAGCCGGACGCGGAGCAGCCATGGGGGACATCAAAAAAAGCGAGTGACAGCGAGGGGAGAAGGGCAGGGAATTTATTGGGAGCAGCAGGGCCTCCTCCTCCTCCTCCACCCTGGAGCACGGGATGATCCTGTGGATGAACCCCCCCAGGGCAGCGGGATGAGGATGGGGGAGCTCAGCACCCCCTGGCACTTCACAGCCCCCGCCCCCGATCCCAACTGCAGCAGGAGGAGGGCGTGAAACGGAGGTGACAGCCCAACAGGGGACACTCAGCACCGTGTCACCTCTCCCCCTTCATCATCCCCCCCCAGGAGAGAGGTCACCCCCCAGGAGAGGTGAAACAGCCCCGAGGCTTCACCACGGCCGAGGCAAATCACAAATCACGTTCTCCTCTCATCCTGCTGCTTTGTGTCATGCCAGGCCCAAAATAACCTCCCTCCACACCCCCCCCTTCCACTCCAGGTTTTCAAAGGAAGATTAATTGACTCGGGGATGTTGCAGCAATTAAACTAACGAGCCCCAGGATCTGTCAGATGATGCTCAGCTGCCTCCATATGCTGCAGCTGGGCCACCGCGGAGGCTCCGCGCCTCCTTCCCGCTGCCGGCACTGCGCCATCCTTATAATTCCATCAGCGCTTCCAGGGCCCGGCCAAGCTGCTGCTGCAGGAGCGAAGGCTCCGGGTAATTAAAATGCAGCCCCTGCCTGAGCCAGGCTGTGTTTCACAGCTGGGGGGGAGCACATTCCCAGCTCCAGCCTCTGATCCCAGCTCCTGGCTCCCAAAGGCAAATCCAGCGGGATCAGGAGCTTCCCAGGGGCTCTGTGGCGGCTGCTGGGAGCTGCTCGTGTCTCTCAGCATCATCTCCACTCCCCCCCAAGGGAGGTGATTCCATTCCTTTGGAAACCTGGAAAAGCCTTGGAGCAGCCCCTGATGGGAACTGCTCGGCCCCTCTGACTGCAGAGCACTGAGAACACAAAGAGTTTGCTCCAAAATATCAGTGCTGGGAATTGTTACTGCCCGTTTCCTGCAAGCTCATGGATGCCAGGCTCTGGATAACGTGAGGATCTGCTGCACCCCTGGAAGTGTCCAAGGCCAGGTTGGACGGGGCTTGCAGCACCCTGGGACAGTGGAAGGTGTCCCTGCCCATGGCACTGGACAGGCTCTAAGGTCCTCCCCAACTCAAACCATCCTGGGATTCAGCCTCTGATTTTCAGAGGTTTTCCTTAGGGAATGCTCAACCTATGGGTACCATGCTGAGAAGGAAGCAGGGTAGAGGGGCCCGGCCTCATTTCTTCCATGAATCCCTGGAAAAGCTGAGCTCCCCGAGCCCCAGGTGGGGCGCTGGAAGCTGTGTGGAGGCAGCAGGGCCTGGAAGGCCAGAGCCCCACAGGGATGTTATTTTTGGCAGCTCTTACAACCAGGTTTTACTCCCAACTAAGCCAGCGAAAGCAGCTTAGTGCAGCCTGGCAATCCCTGCTCCCACCTGCTCTGCCTCCACTCCTGTTTGTTCCTCACCTCCTCGGAGCCTCCGGAGCGTGGCCGAAGGGAAGGAGGGAGACACACACACATTCGAGGAGCTCTTGGAAGCAGAATTTACCCAGATCTTTAACGTTTGTGTCCGCTATTCCCTGCAGCCCCTCGGGCAGGGACAATCCCTCGGGATATTCCTCACTCTGAGCACATGGGAAGAGATTCTCCTCCTCCAGGTCATCATGGAAACTCCGCCCGGGTTGGGCTGTTCCAGCGGTGAAAGGGGCGGCTCCTCCCGGCGCCGTGGGAGGGGAGAGGTGAGGTTTTGCTCCCTCGGCTTCCTGAGGCTCTCGGCTCACCACGGGACGAGCACCAGCCCGGCCAGCGCGGTGTAGCCCAGCACCAAGCACAGCACCTTGAGCAGCCGGTGGCTTTTATCCTCCAGCTCCTTGGCCAGGATCTCGAAGAAGGTGACGAAGAGGAAGGTGCCGCCGGCGACGCCCTGCAGCAGCAGGGAGGCGATGCTGCCCGCGGCGCTGCGGCTGCTCTCGATGCCCATGCCCACCCCGATGCCCAGCGGGATCATCAGGCACACGGCCACCGCCAGCTTGGCCGCATCCCTCAGCGCCAGCGACGCCTTGGCCATGCTGATGCCCAAGGCCACGGCCACCAGCGTCTCGTGCACGGCCACTCCCAGGAACAAGCTGACCACTCTGCCTCCGTCCTCCTGCAGGCCCAGCGCCAAACCCTCGAAGATGGAGTGGGTGCAGAGGGCAAAGACCAGCCCCAGCAGGCGGCGGGGGCCGCAGCGGGCGAGCTCGGGGAGGTGCAGGCCGTGCGAGTGCGGGCCGTGCTCCCCGTAGAGCGCGCGCCCGCGCGGGGACGCCATGAAGGGGCTCTCGTACTCCGAGTCGCTGCCCGCGTCCGAGCCCGCGTTGAAGGTCTCCAGGTCGATGAAGGACGGCTTCTCCTTCTGCAAGCTCAGGAAGAGCTGGTCCACGAAGACCGACAGGAAGAAGCCGACCATCATGATGGTCTCGGCCACCGGGTAGTCCGTGGTCACGTTGTTCTGTCTGAGAACCTCATCGAGCTGGAAGGGAGCAAAAGATCCACCCCTTTATCCCTCTGGTGGGACACAGTGCCACAGATCCACAGTGAATCCACCCCTTTATCCCTCTGGTGAGACACAGTCCCACAGATCCACAGTGAATCCACCCCTTTATCCCTCTGGTGAGACACAGTCCCACACATCCACAGTGAATCCACCCCTTTATCCCTGTGGAGAGAACAATTCCCACACATCCACAGTGAATCCACCCCTTTATCCCTGTGGAGAGAACCATTCCCACAGATCCACAGTGAATCCACCCCTTTATCCCTCTGAAAGGAACCATTCCCACAGATCCACAGTGAATTCACCCCTGTATCCCTCTGAAGGGAACCATTCCCACAGGGACACTCCATCAATCCATGATGCTGCCACATCCTTGTACAGCAGCCTTGGCAGGGCACAGGAAATCCCTGCCTTGCTGTTTGATCCTCACACCCCACAGCCTCCTCTGCCTCCACTTTCTCCACAGAGAGAGGGGCAGGAGGTGGGCACAGCTCCCCTTGCTGAGCCCCTGGGCACAGCACAGCTGCTCCAGAGGGCAGAGCCCCCTAAATCCACTCCTACTTGAGCCCCTGCAGGCTCAGATTAAGGCAGGAGGTGGGCACAGCTCCCCTTGCTGAGTCCCTGGACACAGCAGAGCTGCTCCAGCGGGCAGAGCCCCCTAAATCCATTCGCCCTGGGCCCCTGCAGGCTCAGAGTGAGACAGGAGGTGGGCACAGCTCCCCTTGGTGAGCTCCTGGACACAGCACAGCTGCTCCAGAGGGCAGAGCCCCCTAAATCCACTCCCACTTGAGCCCCTGCAGGCTCAGATTAAGGCAGGAGGTGGGCACAGCTCTCCTTACTGAGCTCCTGGACACAGCAGAGCTGCTCCAGCAAGCAGAGCCCCCTAAATCCATTCGCCCTGGGCCCCTGCAGGCTCAGACTGAGACAGGAGGTGGGCACAGCTCTCCTTGCTGAGCTCCTGGGCACAGCAAAGCTGCTCCAGCAGGCAAAGCCCCCTAAATCCATTCGCCCTGGGCCCCTGCAGGCTCAGACTGAGACAGGAGGTGGGCACAGCTCTCCTTGGTGAGCTCTTGGACACAGCACAGCTGCTCCAGAGGGCAAAGCCCCCTAAATCCACTCCTACTTGAGCCCCTGCAGGCTCAGACTGAGACAGGAGGTGGGCACAGCTCTCCTTGCTGAGCTCCTGGGCACAGCAGAGCAGCTCCAGCAGGCAGAGCCCCCTCAGACCACTCCCAACTGAACCCCTGCAGGCTCAGACTGAGACAGGAGGTGGGCACAGCTCCCCTCGCTGAGCCCCCGGGCACAGCAGAGCTGCTCCAGCGGGCACAGCCCCCGCAGCTGGGCCCCTGCAGGCTCAGCTTTATGCAGGACGCCCCCAGGACCCACCTTGCCCCTGACGGCGGGCAGGAGCGCGTTGAAGCACGTGGCCAGGAAGACACCGCCCCCGAAGGAGTTCCAGAGCGCCAGCAGGCGGCGGGAGCGCTGAGCCTTCTCGTGGTCGGCCTCGATCAGCCTGACGGGCAGCAGGGCCCCGGCCAGCACCAGCACACAGATCCCCAGCAGGCACAGCACCTTGGCCACCACGATCCTCATCCTGCCCGGGATCCGGCCCCGGAGGGCACCCTCTGGGTGTGCTCAGAGCGGGGGCATCAGCCTGGATGGGCCTCAGGGAGAGAGGCTGCCTGGGGATAGGGAGAACACAGAGATTTTTCCTTTATGAGCTGTAGGAAGCAGCAGGGAAAAGTTCAAACTGCATTCAAAAGGAATTTTGAATGAAAGCCCTGGAATTGTGGTCACCTCAAACCATCCTTCCCTGGAGGTCTTTGAAGCCCTGTCCTTGGACACTTCCAGGGATGTAACAGCCACTGGGAAATTCTTGACAGGGCCTGCCCACTCTCCCAGGGAGGAATTCTTTCTCAACATCCCATCTATCCTCTTCCAAAAATCCCACCCATCCCCTCCCCAACATCCCATCTATCCCCTTCCAAAAATCCCATCCATCCCCTTCCCAAAATCCCATCCATCCCCTTCCCAAAATCCCCATCCATCCCCTCCACAACATCTCACTCATCCCCTCCCCAAAATTCCATCCATCCCCTTCCCACAATTCCATCCATCCCATTCCCAAACTCTCCTCCATCCCCTCCCCAAAATCTCATTTATCCCCTCCCCAAACTCCCACCCATCCCAGCCCTCTGGCAGTGGGGAGGAGCCATTCCCTGTGTGCTGCCACCCCGAGTCTTTGTCTCTAAGGGACAAAGAGAGGAATTCAGAGCCCATCAGGTGACATTGACTCACTGCAGGTCAGGCCAAGCCCAAACCCTGGGCCCAGGCACCAGCCACACCTGTGCCAGGGCAGAGGGAAGGGATAAAATCCTCCTTTTTCCACAGTTCACACCTCTGGAACACACCTGGCTCCCCCCAGAAACCCTTTAACCTCACTTTTTTTCCCTTTTCCCCCCATTTTAAACCCAAACCCGTCCCCTCCAAAGCCTCAACTTCCCAAGTTCAGGTGGAGCAGCCACATCCAGCATCCCTGAATGGGGCTGGAGCAGCCCTGAGGAAAAGGAAGCCCCAGGAGCACCTGAGGATCTCCTCACCTGCTCCTCCTGCACACCTGGGCTGTGTCCCCAGCCCCAAAACTGCTGCACCAAGGGATCAGCTCAGCTCCTGCTCGGGTCACTGGCTCAAAATGAAGCATCCAAGCGATGAAAAATATTCTATAAAGCAGGCAGGGCTCTGTGGGAGGAAAAACAAAGGGGTTCCTCATCCGTGCTCCTCTAAATCCCAATGTTTCTGTGAAAAACCGGCCCTTCCAAGCCCTTTGAGACCGTCCCATCGCTTTTAGAAAGGGGGTGATGGGGAAGGGGCTCCTCCCAGACCAACCTGAGCCCACCAAAAGGGAGCAGAGATGAGGGGAGAGGTTTCAGCGTTGCTGGGTGGGCGGTGAGCAGCTCACATGGGGAGAGTTCAGCTGGGAAGAGCCTCAGAGAGGGTCGGGGTCTGCCCTGAGCCCCTCAGGATGGGGAAGGGGCCCAGCTCCAGCCCCTCACAGGCAGATGGAGCCCCTCAGGATGGGGAAGGGGTCCAGCCCCTCACGGCGAGGAGGGGACCACAGACCCCCACAGGAGCTTGGGGCACACCCTGACCCCTCACACCCAGAGCGGGCCCAGCCCCGGCCCCTCAAACCAAGGCCGGGCTCCAGCCCTCACACACGGAGAGGGCCCAGTCCCGTTCTCCCGCCCCTTCCCCCGCAGCCCCGGCTCCCCCAGCCCCGTTGCGACCCCGGGGTCCCCGGCCCGGCCCCGCCATCCCCTCACGACCCCCTCGGCCCCGTTACCCCGGTAACCGCCCCCCCTCACTCACGGCAAGCCCCGCTCGATCCCGGCCCGGCCGCCCCGCATCGCCCGCCCACGGCGGCCTCCCATTGGCTGAGGCGGAAAAGCTGATTTGTGATTGGGCGTTAGAGCTGTCAATCAACGCATCCACAGCACAGCGTGGGGGGAGCGGCGATTGAGGTCCGCGGGAAACGCGTCCCGTAGCGCTGGGTTCCGGACCCGGGATCACCGGGAAAAACGGGAACGGGAAAAACGGGAATGGGGAAAAACCGGGAAGCGGGAGCGCCGGGAATGGGAAAACCATCCCTGGAACAGCGTCCGCCACGCCCACACCCCCTGCTCCTGCCGCTCTGTGATCAAACCGCACCAATGGCAGCTGTGGGTGCTGCAGGGAGAGCTGAGGCCCACCTGGAAATTCCATAAAATTCCACAGAATTCCATCAATTTCCCTTTTTTTTGGTGCTGGCAGCTCAGGAATTTCTGGGCAACTCCAGGCAGTTCAGCCTGGAGTTCAGGGGCAGCTCCAAGCAGGGCAGGAGGAATTCCCTGGAAAATCTCACCTGGAATTCAGGGCTGGAAAATCCCAACTCAGAGAGGAGGAAAAAATACAAAAAAATATTAAAAAAACGGGTCAGGAAAGAGCCAGGAGGGTGAGGGAAAGGGAACAGCACAAAATGTGCAGAAAAGAGCGGGAAAATGGCGCCGTGGTTTCCACATTTTTGCATAATTCCAGAATATTTTCCTTTCCAGCCTGAAATTCCTTTGGTGGGGCTACAAAAAAGCAGGTGGAGAGAAATTAAAAGCAATTTAGGGAAGGAGAAATGGAGAGAAAAAGAAAAGTTTTCTTATTTTTTGTGCTGTAGGAATGTGCAGGAGGAGAATTCCCGTTGGGAAGGACAAAAAAAATTGGGGAAAATGGGAATAAAATGTGCCCCAAACAGACCCTGAGCCCACAGAAGGTTCTGGAAAATCACCTGAGCACGCAGGGATAACAACCAAAGTGTCCAAATGGTTTTTATTCCTCACGAGTGACACGAACCACATGAATTCCACGGAGCCTCGACCAAAAAAAATCACTTTTTTTCCATGATTTTTTCCGTCTCCCCAACGTTCCAGAGGGGCTCCTCATCCCCCAAGAGCCAAAAATTGGATTTAAATCCATTTTGGATTTTTAAAAAATTCCCCTCTGGTTTCCCCCCAGCTGGGATTTGAGGTGGCTCCAGGAGCTTCTCCCTGCCCAAATCCTGGATTTTGGATCCAAAGGGGGATTTTGGATTCCCTTCACCCCCAGCCCAGCCAGGCTGATCATTGACATGCAATTAAAAAAAAAAAAAAAATCAAAATAATTCGGAAAAAACTCCTTTAAAACACACTAAAAACACCTTCACTCCCTCCCTGCTCACATTCCATGGGAGAAATCCCCATTTTGCCAGAGTTTGCTGAACACTCAAATGGGATTTTCCAGGATTTTTTGGGATGGCAAAAACCCCAAAAATGCCTGGGGGAGGTTCAGTCCTGACTCCCCTGTGGATGCTGGAGAGGGGGAAGCAGCAAAATTCCCAAAAAATCCCAGATTTGGAGCAAAATTCTCATTCCCAGAGATGGAAAATCCCAGGAATTCCAGGGTGGGGACGAGCAGGGACTCAAACACTTCTTGGAAGTGGCTCCCGAGGGGAAAATTGGGGCAAAAAAAGAAGAATTCGCTTGGAAATGCTCCAAAAAACAACAAAAAATTGGGAATAAACCCCCCCCCAGGCAGCAAATCCTGCAGGGATTTGGGAATTTCCCAGCAGAATTCTGAGTTCAGTTCTGCTGGGGCTGCCAGGAAAAAAAACCCCAAAAAATAAACCTGGACAAAGGGGGAAAAAGGGGAAAAAAGGGAGGGAAATGGGAATTCTCAGGGACATGCAGGGCACGGGAAGATTTGGGAATTTTTGTGGTTTTTATCCGTTGGAGTTTCGGGTTTTTTCCCCCTCTTGGACACTTCCAAGTCAAGAATTGGCAACACGGAGGTGGCTCCCAGCTGGAAAAGCAAATTCTGGAATTTCCAGGGGCTGCAGAGAGAGGGAAAACAGGGAATTCACTTGGGGAAAAGGGAATTTCATCAGATTAATCTGGATTATTTATTTCTATTGGTTTTATTTTAATTTAACTTATTTATTTTATTTTATTATATTTCCATCTATTTTCAACTTATTTTATTTCAATTTATTTTCATTTTATTTTTATTTAATTTCAAATTATAACCTAATTTTATTTCAATCAAATTTATTTTAAATTTATTTTATTTCAATCACATTTTTGTTTTATTAATTTTACTATGATTTAATTATTACTATTATAACACTAACATATTAACCTATAAAATTATATATTTTTATAATTATTTTATTCACTATTATTTAATTTTTATTATTTTAATTATTTAAAATTTTATTTCAATTTATTTTATTTTAACTTCTTTTCATTATTTTAAATTCAAATAAAAATAACAATTTAAATTGCTTTCATTATTGTAATTAAAATAATTTTATTCTTATTTCAATTCTTTTAATTTTAATTTAATTAATTTTAATTTAATTTTTTCATTCTTTTCCATCTGCACATTTTAATTTATTTTAAATTTTGATCTAAATATTAATTTTACTTTATTTAAAACATTTCAATTTAAAATTTCGAGAATTTAGAACAGAGATTTAAAACTTCATTTGACTCAAACTGACACTATCAATTCCTGTATTGAATTGATCAATCAATCAATAATCAATGGCACTGATCCTGCCCTGTCTCACTCCTGATTGATTAGAAATGGAGTTATCAATTCCTGTATTGAATCAATCAATCAATCAATCAATCAATCAATAATCAATAGCCATTAATCCTGCCCCACCTCACTCCTGATTGATTAGAACTGGAGTTATCAATTCCTGTACTCAATCAATCAATCAATCAATCATCAATGGCATTGATCCTGCCCCACCTCACTGCTAACTGACTCAAACTGGAATTACCAATTCCTGGATTCAATCAATCAATCAATAATCAATGATTGATCCTGCCCCACCTCACTGCTGACTGACTCCAACTGGAATTACCAACTCCTGTACTGAATCAATCAATAATCAATGGCCCTGCTCCTGCCCTACCTCACTCCTGAGTTATCAATTCCTGTATTCAATCAATAACCAATAACCAATCAATAATCAATGCCCCACCTCACTCCTGAGTTATCAATTCCTGTATTCAATCAATAATCAATAACCAATCAATAATCAATGCCCCACCTCACTGAGTTATCAATTCCTGTATTCAATCAATAACCAATAACCAATCAATAATCAATGCCCCACCTGAGTTATCAATTCCTGTATTCAATCAATAACCAATAACCAATCAATAATCAATGCCCCACCTCACTCCTGCTGCTCCTCGTTGCTGGCGCTCGGGGTCCGGCTGCGGATTTGGCTGCGCAGCTGCTCAATGAGCTCAGGGTTCTGCTGCTGCATCTGCTGGGCAAACTGCTGGCCCCTGGGGACAGTAGGGACACACAGGGACATCAGGGACACACAGGGGACAGCAGGGACACACGGGGACATCAGGGACACATGGGGGACAGCAGGGACACACAGGGACAGCAGGGATACAGGCAACACCCTGGGACATTCCCAGCCCTGGATCCAGGATTGTCCCCCTGGATTGTCCCCAGCCCTGTCCCCAGCCCTGTCCCAAGCCTATCCCCAATCCTGTCCCCAGTCCCAGCCCAGTTCTGTCCCCAAGCTGTCCCCAGCCCTGTCCCCCAGCCCATCCCCAGCCCTGTCCCCAGGCCATTCCCAGCCCTGTCCCCAGCTGTCCCCGGGCCATTCCCAGCCATTCCCAGCCCTGTCCCCAGGCCATTCCCAGCCCTGTCCCCAATCCTATTGCCCAGTCCTGTCCCCAGCCATCCCTCAACCTGTCCCCAATCCTATCCCCCAGCTGCCCCCAGCCATGTCCCCCCCATCCCGTCCCCAGACCCAGCCCAGTTCTGTCCCCAAGCTGTCCCCAGGCCATTCCCAGCCCTGTCCCCAATCCTATCCCCCAGCCCTGTCGCCAGGTGTCCCCAGCCCTGTCCCCCAGCCCATCCCCAGGCCATCCCCAGTCCTGTCCCCAGGCCATTCCCAGCCCTGTCCCCAGGTGTTCCCAGGTGTCCCCAGTCCTGTCCCCAACCCTATCCCCCAGCCCTGTCCCCCAGCCCATCCCCAGTCCTGTCCCCAGCCATTCCCAGCCCATTCCCAGGCCATTCCCAGCCCTGTCCCCAATCCTATCCCCCAGCCCTGTCCCCAATCCTATCCCCCAGCCCTGTCCCCAGGTGTCCCCAGTGTCCCCAGCCCTGTCCCCAGGTGTCCCCAATCCTATCCCCCAGCCCTGTCCCCAGTGTCCCCAGTGTCCCCACTCACGCCTGGATCAGGCTGGCCAGGTCGTTGGTGGAGGGGCTGCTCCCGGTCGCTCCCATGGCGTTGTGGCCTCCCGAGATCATCCCCGACATTCTGGGAAGGGGAAAAAAGGGTCAGAACTGGGAGAAGATCCCCAAAAATCACCTGGGGACTGCTGGGAGCAACTTCCCACCCTGGGGATCTCAGAATTCCCTGCAGCACCTTTTCCTGAGTCGGGTGGAAATAACTAATTTAGCTGAACAATTAATAAAATTATTAAAATAATGTTGATATTCCTGGATTTATGGGATTGCAGCCCTGCTCTGCATCCAGGACAGGATTCCCTCCAGGGCTGGATCCAGGTGGGAATACCCAAAGGGACCAGGAGCAGGGAGAAACCAAAGGGAGCTGAGTGATCTCATTCCAAAAATCCAAGGATTTGGGGGCTCCAGAGGGTCTCTCCCTCCTGCCACACTCCACAGGGGTGCTCAGGAATGGATTCAGGAATTTATCCATTTTCTTCAAATATTGGGAACTGCTCCTCACAACCATCCAGGAATGGGAATATTCCCATTTTAACCAAGCTGGGAAATCCTGAAATCCCATAAAACTGCAGCAGAGCCAATTCCAGGGCCACGATCCATCCCATCCC